TGAGCTAACTGGCACCCCTGTTACCTGTCTTACAGAATGGCCAGGGATTATGTAAGGTGTTGACACTGAGCTTTCTATTCTAGCACAGGCTGCAGAAACTGCTCTCTTCTAACAGCAGCTCAGGCAGCTCTCATCTGTGGCTGTGCAGGGAAAGTTGTCTGCCAGTTATTTTAAGCTACTACCTTTCAAAAGCTCCAACCACCATGATTAGATTCTGAATAAGTTCTAGGACAAATGTCTGTAGTGAATGGCACAAGCTTACTTGTAGCATTATAAATGAGGACATGATATAGAACACAGACTAAAATTAAAAAAAGGGGAAAAAAAAAAAGGAGGGGTAATCTTAAACCACAGCATATTCTAATGCTGGAAAAGAGGAGGGGAAAAAAGGCCTCCGAGGCTATCTGCCGTTGCATGATCTCTGTCCAGGCAAGATATGCACACATGAGATATTTTCTGGAGCTTTGGGTATAGTGAATGATCCAAACTGGAGTAAAAAAAGATTGATCTTCCATCATTTCTTCTGAGACATACTCCAAGAGCATAACAAAGTTGCTGTAAAATGTGGTTGTTTTTCAGGCAGCGATGATGGCTGAGGAGCTTAAAAAGGAGCAGGATACTAGTGCTCACTTAGAGAGAATGAAGAAGAACATGGAGCAAACCATTAAAGACCTCCAGAAGAGACTGGATGAAGCAGAACAAATAGCCCTGAAAGGTGGCAAGAAGCAAATCCAGAAACTGGAATCCAGGGTAAGTTTGTGATCCAGCTTCGGACCGTTGTCTCCCGCTTACAGACCTGGAACCAATTAGGTAACCTGGGGCAGCCTGGTAAGTTCATAGAGGCCAAGCAGGGATACTGTGAATGCTTTCCCATTTCACAAAATTCAGGTGAGCAGTTCTTGGAGGCATGCTTCCCTGTCCTCATCCAGCTACAATAGGATGTTGTAGCACAGCAGATGACCAAGCCCTTGATTAAAAAAACCAACAAAACAACACTAAAAAATCCAAGCATCTACAGCAAAAGCCTCTCTAATACTTGCTTCATTTAAATTACTTTGGCCTTCGCATATGTCTTCTCCTTTGACTGCTGGTGCAGATTAAAATATTCTGCATTTATAAAAGCAGAATCAAAAGGTGACATTTTGATCTGTTACTGAAATTTGACTCTATGGAGATGCTGAGAAAATGAGCATTTCTTGAACAGTGAACCAAATTATCTGCTGCCTTACATGTGTGTAGCAAAATGGCAAAGGGGTTTCTGGTTTTGCAGGTTCGTGAGCTGGAGAATGAACTTGAAACTGAACTCCGCCGCAATTCGGATGCCCAAAAGGGAGCCCGCAAGTTTGAGAGACGCATCAAGGAGCTGACTTACCAGGTATGCTGAGGACTGTAGTAACCACTAGGACAGTGGAAAGAGTTGTGGTCTCCCAAACAGTGCCTAAAGTTGCCTCAGTGTTTCAGTGAAGGATGACGGATAGCATTACCCAGAGCTTTCTGATTGTAGGAAGCTTTAGGGGTAGGAGGAACATCTCCCCAGGGCTACCATCATCTTGCCTGATTCATTCCTAATTCATTCATAATTCCAGATTCATTCATAGCTGATGTTAGAAAGCCTCTATTGCTGGGATTTGGACAGTTTTAGCACAGTATTAATATGGAGCAGGCTTAGATGACTATTTTCACTGCTAGTGAAGAAAGAGCCCAGCTGTCTTTCAGCTGTGCTGATGTTGCTAAAAGGAGACAGAAGGATTCAGCTGACTCAGTGTAGGGCTGCCCAGTCCCACGGCTGTCACCTATGGCTGAACAGCAAGGTCTAGTCTCCAGCCTCCTGCAGGTTTGCTAACAGCTGCTCTTGCTGCTTGCCTTTCGGAAAAGGTCTTCAGCACAGAGCACTGATCCTTTTGCTTTCAGCAGCATTCTTAAGAAGATAATCCCATCCATCTGTTGTGGGAGATTATTTAGCTTCCTAACTGTTGTTTTACTTTGACTGTTGTCAAAGTATTGTATGCAGAGGCTGAAGGTTGCTCTCTTAGAATACAGTGCACAGGCAGAATTAGCTAGTCCTTTTGTTTATGGAGTGTGACAGCTTAAAATTGGCTCCTTTTACCAGAAATGCCTCCAAAACAGACTCTAAAATATGCACATTACACATTTTTAGGCCTGTCCGTAAGTCTGTTTCACTGAATAATGACATGCTTTATAATGACAAGAATGTTTCTCATCCCTGAGCAAGGAACTCTGTGCTTATGTATGAGTGTACCTCTGAAAGAGCACACACATATATACCTGTATTTTTGTGTATCTATATTTACATATGTATAAATTGAGAGGGTACTCTCTTTTAGTCCTCAGCCTTACAGATATCTACCATCATCCTATAGAAGATTTTCTCTCATCTGTACATAGAGTGATCAAACATACAGCTTGTTTGTATTTTGAACTATACATTTCTAAACCAATATGTATAGCATCTATACCTACTGCACTGTGGGAGCAGGCCTTTAGGCCTTTTTACACTATCAACTCAATTTATGGTGTTTTGATACAGTCAGAAGAAGATAAGAAGAATCTGGCCAGGATGCAGGATCTGATTGACAAGCTTCAATTGAAAGTGAAGAGCTACAAGCACCAAGCAGAGGAAGCTGTAAGTAACTATTTGGGCCTTTTTACCTTTGAGAAATGTATTGTTCTAAATCCACAATCTTCAATCCATAGAAGCTTTTAGTACAAATACACTTCTTGTGCATGTATTAATATTTGTATTTATATCCATATAAACCCTGTCTGTACAAATGTGTTTATAACATATAAAAAAAAATATATATAGCATGTGTGTGGATTATATTTAAGAAAAGGTATTATATTTTCTCTTAGAATTGCAGTATAGTTTGCAAGGAAAGGGGGAAAAGGATGGAACAGGAAAGACTTTTTGCTCCTAGCCCCTAAGAAGGGATGTTGAAAGCCTCCCAGTTCACTTACCATGGAGAGTGCAATTGGAAACATTGACTCTGTAAAAAACCAACCTCAGTTTTCCTGGAGGCAACTGGTTCCCATATGGCTGTTACCTAGTCACACTGAGCACTTCTCATCCACTTGAAATGAAAAGCTTTGTTTCACATGGACAGGAGGAAATCAGCTCCACTGTTTTCTCTCACCAGGAAGCTCAAGCCAATCTGTACCTTTCGAAGTACAGAAAACAGCAACATGACCTGGATGATGCTGAAGAAAGGGCTGAAATAGCTGAATCTCAAGTTAATAAGCTGAGGAGCAAGTCAAGAGACATTGGCATGAAAAAGGTATGGTTATACTGTATGGGTAAATGTGACTGTTTAACATGCAGGAGTGGATGCTGTGTATGCAGGAAGATCTGTTACATATAGCATGGACTACAATTAACTGTTGTTTACTACATTTTCTAATTTCAGTCTACCTGTTATTTTAACACTAAGGTAAGCCTTTAGGACAGCAATCTGATGCTTAGCCAAAATGAATTCTCTGCCCTCTTGATGTTGTCATTTAATCTGTGTTCGGCAACCTGAATTTTTAAGAACTGGTGATTTTGGTTTGGGTGTTTTTCTCTTTTTTTTTTTTCTTTTTCCCAAGGGATATTAAAAAGCTCCATCTCTTTCTCCCTCTGATGATGTCTATTTCTATGCATGTAATACAGCCTGGGGACTACTGCACTAGCAGATTGCCAGATATTTTAACATTGCTTTCACTGAATTTGTATTCATTTTAAGAGCTGGATGAAAAGAAAATATTAGGGATTAGTCACTTAGGTGCTGGGAAATCATTAGTACTTAGAAATACATTTGTGGTGGTTTGCACTTGAGCAGAATGGTAGTAGAAAAATATTGATGATACTAAAAGGTACCTAAGAACTTGATCTGGAACTGAAAGCAAACCTTTGCTTATGTATGCTTGCCTTGTGGGTAAAGGGGTTGCTACTTGTGGGAATGACAGAAAGTAGAACTGGGTCATTGCTTAGTCTATTTGCAAGTGAAACAAACTGCCATGCTTAATGTCATAAGTTTTATGGGGCTGAGAGTTCCTGAGTCAAGAAAAAGGAAAAAAACACCTTTCTGTGTATTTTTTGTATTTTTATCCCACTTGATCCCAACATCTTCCTCCTCTGTTCTATATCCACTATTCTGTGGGAGGAAACAGTCCAATTTCTGCTTTTATACTGGACTAATAAAATCACCTTGTAGCTCCACTGCCTAGAGCAGAGTTACATTAAACCTGCATGAAGATCTGATCTCTCACACGTTTATGTATGATGAAAGCAGTACTGTAATTGAAGCTCAAAAAGAACTTTCACAGCTTTTAAGAGTAAAGAATTCCCACATATTTTAATTTATATTACTCCAACCTTAAAAAAAAATTCATGTAAGTTCACAAAGCCATGGCACCATACAGGTACTGAAATAGGTAAACCATGACAGTAATTAATTTTTTTTAGTACTGGGTGCTGCTTGATACTGAGTAGTTACTAGTACCCTCTTTCTGCCTCAAATATGCAGAAGTTGTAGAAAAGTGGATGCCTGTTTTTATTAGTCAGATGCTAATTTGTCAACACCAATTTCAGCTCTGGCTTAGAGTATTTTACTGTCAAAAGATGAGCTTAATGGTACACATAGAGGTGACATCTCCACAAACAGGGACTTGTGGCAGTAATGGTAGTAGCTGCCAGGAAACGTGTTTGGGCAGCGAGTACTGTCCCAAAAGTCATGACACATCTCCACTGGGGCGAGAAAGGTGCTGGAGAGACTACTTTAATTGTGTGGCATTAGAAATACCTTGTCTACTGCCACTAGTACCCATGTTCCTGGAAACTCTGGGAAGTGTATGTGATTCAGAACAAACACCACCATCTATTGAAATACGGTTGTATTGAAGTCATCTGCTATCAAAGGGATGTATGCTCTAGCATCAGGACAAGAAACCAGTATTATTAGCTGAAGTGAGATGGCAAAGGCTAGATTGGTGCTAAGTCTATTTCAGATACAAATTCAGAAGAATTACTGAAGAGAAACTTTTGTCGTTTATTTGTAAACTTCGTCTAAACCCCGCTCCATGCTTCCATTTTTAACAGTTGTATCCTATCTCAATTCCATTTCAGGTTCATGAAGAGGAGTAAATACAGTCCAAGCTGACAAATATGAGAAGATGCTTGATATAATCAGGCATAACTGAAAACAGATGTAGAAATAAATAAGCACTTACATAAATAAACATCAAGTGAAAATCCAAAGAGACTCTATAGTGTATTCCATTCATTTATTTATATTTCTATTTTGCCAAGCCTCAGGGATCAATAAAAGATTACATCTTGCCAACAGCCCACTTCATTATGCTGGAACAAATCCTAATTGGCAGATCTCTGACAAAATCAAAACCAAGGGCAAATCCAGACAGGCTTCACAGCCTTATGTATTTCACATGCAGATCGCTAAAGCAGCACAGATTAAAGCTGTGCAGGGTACAATATTAAACCTGGGATAACCCAGCTTCCATCTGTCTTGCCAGTCAGAGTCTGTATGAGTTTTGTAGGGGAGCAGAAAGTAAACTTTTGCCTATGAACGTTTTAGAAGCTTTCACTACTCCCAGAAAAAGCACTTCTGTTCAACAGCTGCAGAAGAGATAAGAGATGCATCAGGACCGCCTGTCACTCAGAAATTGGGTGTTCTCTTAGATCTTTTCCACTTTTGAACAGGTATGTTGTCTTTGCTTAAAATTAAAATACTAAATGAAGCGCAAAACAGTAAGCCCTCTCCCTTATACTGGGGGGGGAGGGGGCGGGTGGGAGAAAATCCCACAAACCTGTTTATTTTTCTGTGGAAAGTTCTTCACTGTCACTTTAGGATACCCAAGTTCTAATTTTCCATGCTGACTCCTCACATTCAAGTGTCAATTGACTTACGTTTATTTTGTTTTCTACCAGTTCAATGGTTTGCTACTGTTGCTCAGATAATCACATTTCCATGTGGCTCTTAGTGTAACTCAACAGGGAAGGTGAAGGAACTCTGTTCTTTTCAGCAGCAATCTCAGCAGCATTTGTGTGTGCAGAGAGGGATTTTCTCCCAGTATGTCAAGGTGCTCATATGACTTCTCTTCTTCTGCATTTCTAGTTAAAAAACCAAAATGTTTGTAAGAACTACTAATGTGTAAAATTAATCCTCTAGTGGGAACAGAACAAGAAACACTCAATAATTTCCATTTTAACATTATAAAGTCAGCATTTTCCATTTTAACATTAACTGAGTAAAATAAACATCCATATAACAATGGATGCATATAACATAGGTATTATGCAGTGGATGCAGAAACATATGCATATAAGAGTGCAGAAATATTCCTGTTTCAGCCATGTAGTGCTCTATCAATGTAACTGGAGCTGAGTTAACCTATAAACTGTTTCACTTCCTCTGATTATGATGTGTCAAAGGTCTCAACAGAACCCAAGATAGATGAATCTTGCTTAAATTCTTTAAAGTAAACAACTGAATCTCAAAAGTATGTTATCCTCTCTAAAGCATGTTAGCATTAAAACTGACTGATAAGAAGCATGCAAGTGAATCTGTAAGAGAAAAATGGAAAAACACTGAGACCTAATAGTTCTAGAGTTGTCTTTCTGGTGTGTTCTTATTGACCCTCATGGTAACCATAATCACAAAACATCTCCTGAAGCTTAACAAATCCAGGCTGTGACAAAATCTTAAGGCCCAAGGAGTTTGAAGGTGTATCTCTCCATGGATAGGGCTATATTGTCAGGCACAGAAAGATGGACCCTAAGGACTAAGAGCTAAGTTAATTTTTTAAGGATGTTCACCACAAATGCAGAGGAAGGAGACAATATTCTAAGACAGAGCCAGCCTATTACAAATGGACAAGAATAAAATGTATCCACTTGAAGATGCTGTACACCAGTAAATTGGAGAGCTGCAAACACTATTGAGATCAGGGACCATGTGGTTTTAACAGTCTCCCTAGCAAAGCAGTTAGTATAACTTTTCATACTGAAGTTTTGGTGAGCTTTGCCATTGGATATAATTGAAATAGTAATTTGGGCCCTAATGAAGACTAGGTATGTGCATTGCTTGAGGCACTTTATACGTTTTGATTTGAAGGACTTTGTTTTGTTTGTTTGGGGTTTGTTTGTTTTTGATTGATTGATTGATTGATGCATTTTTTTTTTCTTAAACACAAGTGAAAGCAAATGAACCAGTTCATTTTTAAAGCAAGTTGTCAGAAAGTGTTTGTGAAGGGTAACCAATTTTTAAGTCTTTTTACAGAGCACAGGAGAACACCTGGTCAAGGGAAGGGCATGTTAACATTGTTATAACCACCTACTATTGCATTCAGGACCAAATTGGATCTTCTGGACACAGAAAATAGCAAGAATGAGGACAATTTATTTATGCTGAGACTTACAGTTCTACATTTTGATTCTTTCTTGTATGCTTTATCCCAGGAAAATCAAATTTATGTTTTAATCAAACATTCAAGGTCTGGATTTAAGCTTAATAGTACCTCTAAAAATGAATCCCCTGCTGATTGTACATACCTTGCACAAGAGGCAGAGACAGACTCCTGCTATGAGCACAACAGTCACTCCTGTGACAATTTTCCAGGTGTTACCTGAATTTTCTTTAAAAATACAAATTCCGAAAAGTTTAACAAAAGTGCTTTATATTGCAAATTAATGTTCACTATTGTTCAATAAGTATATTAAAGGTATGATTTTTCTCTTGTTTATCATCTAAAAGCTATGATTTAGGGAGAATGTCTCAGTTTCTTTTTTAATGTTACTAATACAACAATGTTCAAGTTACTTGACTCGTGCTGTGAGACTTTAAAGTGATACTTTAATTACATAAGTGTAAATAGCTGAAAGCAGATTATTTTACTTAATTGTGCTGATACCAAATTCCATGTGTGCTCATGTAGTATGATTTGACAATTTCTTAATACAAGTCCCATTTAAAAACAACCAAGTGCCCAGTATGGCAAACACTGCCTTCAGGTACAGTGCTCAGTACCATTAACGGTACTGCTGATTTCCAGTAGAACAACTCAGTGTTATCCAGCCTGGACCATAGATTTCATAATTTCTGTTGTGAAATCTTTGCACTTCTCATCTAAAACCTTTTCCAACTTCATGATGAACCATGCAATCCAGGCGGGCACAAGAAGCAGCAGATCCTGAGGTGAGTGGTAGCAATGAATTCCATTGAAGATAAGAGCCCATCTAGCAGAAACTTCTGCATGGCATCAAGCATCTCATTGCTCCAACCAATTTCAACATGAGAACACTCAGACCAGGAGGACTCATTCCTTAACTACAGTTCTTTCACTTCAGGCTTCCTTTCTGCTGCTGCATCTCATTCAAAGAACGTGAAAAATTCTACACGCCTCTGAAAATTCCCTATGGATGTCTGGCAAACAGTTAAAATATAGTAACTCCCAAAACAGAACATTTAATCTAGTCATTGTCTTTAGCTTGGCTCTGTCCCCAAACGCAGACCTATGTTAACATCTTGTCAATGTGTTTGGTAGAGCAGCTTTAAGCTGCAACCTTTCTTTACACAGGAGATGGCTTTTCTTTACACAGGAGATGGCCTCCAAAATTATTATTAGTTCATCTCACTTTTCCCCTTAAAAGTCTCCTTTTTCAGTGGCACTTGGAAATCTTTCTGGTGGTTGAGTAGCTGCTGTGCTATGACCACCATCAAACACACTGATCTAGCTCATTCCCATATGCCCTACTGTCCCTGTCTGCTTATCTGCTTTCAGACTGTGTTGCCACAAAGATAATAGTCTCTCTGGTGTCCTCCCTGTTCTGCATTTCTGGTCCAAGAGTCAGAAAATTCGGTGAGCGGAACAGTAATTTAGCCACTAAAGAGGGTATCACCTACGGCTATTGCAAGATACAACTGCAGAGAGCAGCTGGAGAAAGGCGTTTGTAGAGGATGATCCAGATCATATCTGGACTGGGCAGGTGCATGTGTCTGACTCCAGTAAATGTACATGAACTTGAGCATCAGTGTAACTCCTTGGAGGTGTTCAATGCTTTCCACTTCAGAAGCACAATACTGGGTTTACAGGACAAAGAAGATCATGCTGGAATTTGAGCTGCAAGAAAGTGTGTTTGTCCAACTTAACCATTTTAAGTCCCCTCCTGTAGCTTGCATATAGCTACTGCCATTTAAAACACACCCGACATCAAGTTTTCAGACTGAAACAAACCTATAATAGGGAAGGAGGAAGGAAAGAAATAAAAATATGCAGTTCTTATCACCTATTCTAGCCCCTTTTCTGCTATGTTGCCTCTATTTCTCAGGTACGACTGGTTTGCTTCAAATTCTCTTTAGTTCCCCATCCTTTAGGTGATTGTAATTGCATAAATGCCTGTGTGCTATTGTTTGAATGTTTGGGGATTTTTTTTTTCTCCTCCTTTGGACTGAAGTTTAAGGAGGCTGCATCCCAAACAGACTATTTTTGGACAAATCTCCAATTTGTTTTCACTTTAATTTTAGAAAGATGGAGTAAATTATTTTTTAACCCTCAGTAAGAGTTTTCAACAGGTAGGAAAGCTAAGCAGTAAGTTAATCTCCAGTCTTGAAACTGGAGACAGTGAAATGACTGTAACTAAGACTTCACAGCTGGAAATTTACTACAGTTCATAAAACCACAGGCATGCATATAACACATATAACCCCAGGCATAAAAAAACACCTGCTGTGTAGAATTAAAGCTTTGAAAATAACGACTGTGTGTTCTCCTCAACAAAGTTTCTTCTGCAGGCAAATTTATACCACATCTTTGGGCTTCCCTTCATCTCCCTGTCACCTTTAAAGACCATATTTGCTACCAGCAAAGCATTTAGGACATGATTCTGAGAGTTGCCATGTGCCCTCAGCTCTGAGGGCAGTTGGTGGCAACTGAGGGCAGCCACTGATTTTGAGACCCTTGTACAACAAGCTGCTGATTAAAAAAAGAAACTTCAAGTCTCTAAATAAATATACATTAATTTTTTCTTTCCATGGGACAACAATAGTAAAATATCTCTTCTATCCCCCTGTGCTAATTACTCAAGATTATTTTCCTCATTATTTTACAGATTTCTGGCTGTTACTTTGGCTCTGTGTTCCCCTCGCTGGTCCCCATCTCCAAAATGGAAAGAGTGTCAACTTACCAACTTTCAAAGTTCTCACAGTAAGTCTTGTGTAGTGAGGTGTTGAAACATTGCACAGATATTCTCCACTGTCTTTTGTAGTAAGATCATCCAAGATCAGTGAAAAATCACTTTGGTTAATCTGGACTCGAGGTTGGTAAGAGTGAGATGTGCCATTGAAGGAGGCCAGGACTGAAATCACTGCATTTCTGTGCAATGTCCAGACAACAGTGAAACCTTCACTGATAGCAGTGTCATTGCTATATCCACAAGGAATTGCAGTGCTGCTTCGTTCCACACGAGACAGTTGGTCTGCAAGAGACAATTGAAGAACTCTGCAACTTCTTTGGAAAGTACTGTGAAGGTTATCTAGACATTTTCTGATCTTTTTCTGGAGTCTGATACAACTATAGACAAACATAAAAACATATTTCACTATTTTGATATATTCAAATACCACAGTATGTTTCCAGAAGCATTTGAGTATTTTAAAAGCAAACCTATCTTACATCAAAAAATATCTAATTGTTATCAGCTATACTTAAGAAAATTATGTTGGTGTCATTTGCCTGTTTCTCCTCTAATTGGGAGGGGGGCTTACATATATAAACAATTCAGTCTAGTCTAAGTTACAAATGAAGCAACGTGAAATTCCACATGTTGGGAGCAGAGACAAAATGCAACCTTCACATTTGAAGCACAAAGGATAAAACTGTTACAACATAATTTAATTAAAAGAATTAAAAGTTTGTATTTAGTTAGAAGTAATCTTCAGCTATGGTGGACTTAAGTACTTTACCTTTGTGGAACACTTACAATTAATGCATAGCTTAAAAAAAAAAAAAAAAAAAAAGGAAGAGGAAGGAAAGAGCAGGTTAAGTCGAACTAATAGATAATACATGAAATACTAATGTAAGACAAATCAATATCATAGCACAACTATCAATGTGACAGCAGGGATTTGCTGCAAACGAAGGAAAAGCAGAGGAGACTGTGGAGGGTGGCAGTGTGCTGGAGAAGAAACTAGTATATTATTTTGACACTTGCTTTCTGTGTGTGTGGCTGAATGATCAGAGCTGCAGGACTGAAAACCATGAGGAAAAAACAAAAGTGTACGCCACAGTGCTATTACATAAGGAAAGCAGTATATTTTCACAATGTTCTAGTGGGAGGGTAGATGGATGCAAGGAAATTCAAACGAAGGTGTCATGAAATACATCTTTTTCTCTCATGGATCAGAAGGATAGATTAACAAAATAAATAGACAGTTACAATGCTCTTGTTACTTACTATAATACTATACTTGAAACCTTCCATACTGTAAGCTATTCTATGTAATCTAAAAACTGCACTCTTGTTCTGAAGCATATGCAGTGGAACTGAGATTGTCTGGGTACACTTCAGGGGGAAATGAGGGCAATGGAAGTAGTCATGCACATCTCACAAGGGAACTGCTCTTGATCCACTAAAAAAAAAATACTTCCTAAGAAACAGAAGAGCTTGAAAAGTACCAGTTATTGACTTGAAATTCAGGAGGAGGATAAAACAGAGAGTTAAAATTTCATAGTCTTCTTTTCCTTAACTAACAAAATGAGCTGCTGTTTGCTCAAATGTGAACAGTGCTTGCTGCTCTCCACTCCCAAGCACCCCCAGCACTCAACCTGGGCACTTAAGGATGCACTTGAAGAGAAGTACAATGAAAGGATCAAATGGTACTGGGAAATGGACACAAACATCTGTGTTGCCCCACTGCAGAAATACTGTATTCAATTTGGCTCTGAAACCAGCTGTGACATTCAGTAGTGATGCAGAAAGAGACTTCAATTCATTCCTACCTTGCATCTTCCATTCAGCAGCCCACTCTTCATCAGGTAGATGAATATGACAATAATAAGGCTCATCTGTGTTTATAATGTTCTGGTCACTTCTAAGAGAATAGAGAACTCCATCCCTGATTTCTTTCTGACCTGTTTCTTGGATGGATGTATTGCCTTGTACCCAAGATATACGTGGTGCTGAGTAAGTGAGAAAGGCATAGCACTTCAGCATCCTTTCTTTGTCTGTCTTTTGGTATTCCAATGCATAATAAGACGATACTATAGATAGAAAAAAGAAAAGAAAAAAAAAATCAATCCTACTACTTTCAAAATCCTTTTTAACTTGAAGTGACTGGTCTTTTGAAATAACATTAGAGAGAAAAAATGTAACTGAGATCAAAATTTAAGCTGTTTGAATTCAGAGGAAAGCATAGCACAAGAGAAAATCTGTTGGTATAATCTCATTTCCACTGGCATGATCCAAGCACTTTTGATGTCTTACTGACCTCTTACACGCAGCGTGACTTCCACTTCTGTTCTAGTTTGCTGGGTTCCCACATAGCAACTATAAGGGCCCTCATCTGTCAAGGTGAGGTTACTAAGTTTCAAGGAGGCATTTCCACTAGGAATGTTCTCATGGAAAAGGTGCGTTCTGTGTCTGTAATCCGGGTCTTGACTTCCCAGCTGATCCCTCTGGTAATAGTAGCTGTGCACATATTTGTCTCCTTTCTTCCAGTAAATAACTTCATCATCCCCAGGTGGGAAAAGACAGGGGAGAATGCAATCCTTGGAAAACAGTCCTGTTACTGTTTCCTGTTCTGCAAAACCTAAAGCCCATTAAGTACAAATTAATAAGTTAAAGCTAGTCTACAAACATACTTCTGTCTCTCCTTATCCCTGACAAAACAAAACACTGTGGCAGGCAGCACATTCCTACCAAGCATACCAACAGCTCTTTCACAGCTTTTCTGCAATGCAAGTCTCTGGGACAGCAAGGGTCTTCAGTCAGTTTAATCAATATTATAACACAGAGCTCTGGTCTTTGAGCTTCATCATCAATTTAAGTAGATATTCTGAGTAAGCACCTACATATTTTAATCAGCACATCAGCACCTTAGCACCTGAGCTTTCCAAAAGCACCACATTCCCCCTCAAAACCTTTTGAGCTACAGCTTGCTACTTGCTCAACTAACTGTTCGTAGTGCCATGTTGCAATGACCCAGGTTACCAATAACCCTCACATACTGCCAAGCCATTGTACCATCACAGGTTAAAAACCCATAATGGTTCAATTGATAGGAAGGACAGAACTTCTTGAAACAGCTTCAGCACCACACATGAAGCTCAGGGAAGCTGCTCAGGGAGCTCTGTCCTAGCCGCTGGAGTTAATTCCAGTGTGAATTCCCCAAAACTAATTCACACAAATCTGATTACTGATGACATTTAATTTAGGCCTTGCTGGCACAAAAGACTGATTTTAAATGAATCTTTAAAAAAACCTGACTGTATTAACATAGCATTAGCATATGGACCTTCTTAGTCAAGACCAGACAAGCTGTTAGGCTGGTAATGAGTGTCTTCTTGGAAGTTTGGATGCCCTCTCGAGCTCATCTGGTAGGGCAATCTGGATGACCTCTCAGTGTTCTCAGTGCAAAGTCAAACAATGTACTTCAAACCCTTTTCAGTATGGACTGACGAGTATGTACACTGCTGAGCAGTGACACAGAGCACTCCACCAGCTGAGCCGTGGGGCAGAAACATTGGCGGGTAACAGTTTGGGTGCTTGATGGCCACATGCAGTTGTCTTTTGCTTCAGAAGTTTTTTACATTACTCCAGATTGATTTGTTTACCATTTAGAACCAGCATTTAATTAATGTCCCATTAGTTAAAAAAAAATGGGTAATAGTCTCTCTAGTTTTGCGTAAACAACAGAGCTAAAACCTACCCCAAATTTGAAGTAAATAGATGAGAAGAGATTGTATTTTCTGCCCCTTCATGTCTTCTTTGGTTCATAGCAGACTCGTGCCAAACTGACAGCATAAAAGGAGGGGAGAAAACCTGTTTAAACGCAAACAAAAGATGTACTCTAATTATATAATTTCCTTTGTACAGTTTATTAAGGACTGCAGCTCCTTTGCATCTTGTTTTTTGTTTGCAACAGTCTTGGTCCAGATTTTTGATCTTAAGATCATTACGTAATACTATACATAATGGTTGCGGCTTCTCATTATCATGTAATCCCTTGCAGATTGATATTTGCTGATTATTTTTAATAAATAGGAAGTGATTACCCGCAGTGTTCTTAGAGGGCAAAGGAACACAAACCTTCATCATTCATGAACAGGGCACCAAGGAAAAATTATTAAGTACAATCTCCAAATGGCTGTAAGACGTCCTCTGTCAAGCCAGATTTTTCTGCTTCCTGAAATGTATTTCTGGTTACTGCAACATTTGCCTTTCTAGGGTAGGAAACTAGCCTGGATCTGCAAATACTGCAGATACAAAGAACTTGAAGGCTCTTCAACAGGTCAAAAGGCCACCAGCTGAACTTCCAAAAATGCATGTATGGAAGCCTAGCATAGGAATGCAAAGGAGAAGGTTCAGCCATCGTGTCTTCTGGTTTATCAGTTAAATAACAATGAACTGGAAGCTCCTGTGGGCAATGAGAAAAGAGTAATCTTACTGCAACTGATAGGCTGCACTCTTCCTCCACCCAGGCATGCTATTCTGAAACATAGCGTGCTGCAGTGGGGAATTTACCTCATGAACCAAATGCTTTGAAAAGAGTTTAAAGAGCTGCTCTTGGTCCTTTTCTTCTACCCAAAAAGTAGGTACCATACCTAACTTACAAAGGGCACGAGTTTAGCCAGGCATGCCAACCTGGTCTTTTAATACTATGGAATAGTTCTGACTGGTGTGTGTGACTTTATTTGTGGTGAATGTGAATGTTACATCCCAAGGATTTTTGCATGTTATTTCTTTTGTAAAGCTAGTGTGATTATTTTATGCATTCTTACTTTTGGGAGGGGGGGGGAAGCCCCCAAACCAAATAACAGAGGGGCATCAAAATATTAAATTTGACAGAGTTGATGAAAGATTAAAACAAATGCTTATGATATACAGTTTTGTTCCATGTTAGCAGCCATTGACAGTATCTGCCTACTTTTCTCCTTGCATTGGCAAGTGGTGCACATCATGTTTTATTGGATTTTTGTTTATTTGTCCATCACTTCCAACTTGATTGATACAATATATTGTGCTTGGTGTTTGAATTTCAGAAACTGCAATCAGTAATACATTTCCTTTTGTGAGTGATCTGCCACACTTAATAGACAGTCACATTTAACTGGTAGTGATGCTCTGAGTAACACTGTTCCAACAGTTCCTCTGTGATGCCTTTTGGGGCTGCATCAGGGAGTGAAGCCTGGACAGGGACAGCACAGGCTACTTCACATCATCTAGCTGTAGTCCATAGCAAGTGCTGTGCTGAAATACAGAACTAGACCTAGTTAGCTGAAAACTTTCATGTTCAGCACAAGTCTTACTGTGTTGAGAAAAACGTTTGTGGTCTGCAGAGAAATGAGTGGCTCTGGCCACTCTTCAGCGAGTCTGGGGTCTTGCAGGCATAAAGTATACATGTGTAACAAAAGTTGTCTATTCCTTAGTAAAAAGGATTCTGATTAATTCCTTTTCAAGGTAACAGCAGCATATTTCAAGCATACATCCTTATGAGGACTGGAAATGCCCGATGATTTCAGGTTTTACCAACAAGCAAACAAGAAAAACAAATGTGTAAAGTTCTAAAAAAACCCCATGTTAATCACATGCTGCTAAATTCTTGTCCTAGCTGCAATGATAATACCTTTCCAGAATTTCACCACTGAACCCTTCAGGGAGCACTTTCTGTAGTACACAGAGAATTGAATCTTTGCCTCCCCTCAATGAAACCCTTACAACTTGAATGCTAACTCCACACTTCGCTCGCTGAGTGACAGTCCAAAGGAACAAGGTGTCGTGGTTTAAGCCCAGCCGGCAACTTGGAACCACGCAGCTGCTTGCTCACTCCCCCCCCCCCTTCCTGCCTCCCCCCGCTCCCGGAGGGATGGGGAGGAGAATCGGAGGAATGTAACTCCCACGGGTTGAGATAAGAGCACTCCAGTAACTAAGGTATAATACAAACCACTACTGCTACCAGTAATAATGATAAGAGGAATAACAAGGGGAGAGGACACAACCGCTCACCCCCCGCCGACCAATACCCAGCCCGACCCGAGCAGCGATCTGGGCCTTCCGGGTAACTCCCCCCAGTTTCTATACTGGCCATGACGTGCTGTGGTATGGAATACCCCTTTGGCCAGTTTGGGTCAGGTGTCCTGTCTCTGCTTCCTCCCGGCTTCCCCTCCTCCCTGGCAGAGCATGAGACTGAGAAAGTCCTTGGTCAGAGTAAACATTACTGAGCAACAACTAAAACCATCGGTGTTATCAGCGTTGTTCCCAGACTGAAAGTCAAAACCACAGCCCGGCACCAGCTACTAAGAAGGAGAAAAAATGACTGCTGTAGCTGAACCCAGGACACAAGGTTCCCACATTCTAAACATCCAAAATTGTCTTAGGAAATAGCAAAAAACCACTGCATTTTACCTCATTATACACATAGCTTATTCCTCCCCTACCCCATACACCATAAAGCTGTTACAAGGACAACAGGTGGCTTTTTACCTCTTATGATTTCGCAAGTTGCCAAAAAAAATCAGTCTTGTCTTTTCAGGTGTTTCACGCAGGCAGGGTTTGTATATATATATATTAAAATAAAACGAATATACAGCTCCTCCAAAGCCATGGAACTTTGTCTCTTCCCGTGTCTTTCACTGCCCCACCTTTGCATGCATGACTTTACTTACAGATTCTTTCCTGTCCAAAGACCAAAGTTTGTTTCTATTGTGTAAATCACATTTCTACACACACAAAGCTTCCACTTGTTTCGCTTTCTCTTCTCCCTCTTTGGGCTTAAAAAGCTTTTCCTCTTAACCATTTATTTTGCCTGGCTTTCTTGAACAACCTCTTTAATGTTAACTCCTGTGAGCTGGAGTAACAGAAGAAATCAGTTAGTTGTCAGAAACGTGATTTCTACAGCGGTGGTGACGGCACTTGGCGATTGTGCTCAGGCGGTACGAGAGCGTGACCACTGGTGCACTAGAGACCAGCAACTCTCTTACTAAGGCAGAGCGTGTAGGAACCTGATCCAGGGGGAGAGGCAAAAGAATGTAACAGAGAGGACAAAATGTAACAGAGAAGACAAAAAGAATGTAAGATACACATTATCACAAGACTGTTCTCAGAAAGATGGTAATCTGAAACCAGAACAGTAGGTGCCTTGTCTGACGGGTTAATTTTTCCTAATGATATTTCACTAGGGCTTCATTTTCTCTGGACGATTCAAGCCTGGTGTGTGTTATTTGGCTTCCAATAGAAATAACTGGTTTCTAGTAGGAAAAAACTGATAGAACAACTCAAGTATTTTAGGGAAGATGGCTGACTAAAAGAAAAAACACACAAAAGAAACCAAACCCTCCCCACCCCCAAAAAAAACCCACCCCAAAACAAACACCTGAAAACAGAAAACAACAAAAACAAAACACAAACCCCCAAACCCAGTACGTGTCCTCAAATATCCCAGCTGGCGTTAGCAGTACATGGGTGTTTGCAGCATTTCTGGGAGAACTGGCTTTCCCACCTGCTCTCTTCCGAACCAACCCCTAACAGTTCCAGCTGGCAGCTCCAGCTGATCTCCAGCTACAACCCCTCTGCCCCTTACTTTTCCAAACA